AAATTGTCTTTTTAGCTTGTTTAGGTGTACTATCAAGACATGCCCTATCAGTGTCTCTTATCATTGTCCTGAATGATCAACAAGATCTCTGACTCTGGTTAGTCAGAACTTGAAGGATTCCTAGACTTGTGTGAGCTCTGATAACAGTTCATCATATAATTTCCTGTCAGAGTTTTACCCTATGTATGGGCAGATTGGTCTTTGGTAGGTTTGTCAATTCGGGTTTCTGGAGCTCTTCGGCTGAATAGCTCCCTCGTATCTGATACTCTCACCTGCAAATTTAAACCATTTTCTCTTTAAACTGTTCTTTAACCTTTTAGCTCTCCAAGACTGTTGTGCTTTGCTGGGGGGAATTCCCCTTCTAGTACCAGTATCCAGAAATGCCTCAAGGCAGAAAGCCAGTGGGCCTCACCTCACTGGCTTCCTTTGACTCAGGGATCACAATCTTGTCTTGTCTGTTGTCCAACATGTGAAAACAGCTGTTTTCATATTTGTCCAGAGTTTTAATTGTTAATTGTGGGAGGATTAATCCAGTTCCAATTATTCCATTATGGCTGGAGAGCAGTGGTGCAACCACAGCTCATTGCAAACTTGAATTCTTGGCCTCAAGCAATCCTCCCACCTCAGACTCCCAAAATGCTGGGATTATAGGTATGAGCCACCATGTCTGGCCCAAAGCCTCTTTTAATAAAGTTTCCAGCATAGATGTTTTACAAGATTTCATCTACCATAATAACCCAATCCACATGTGCCTTCCATCCTTCCACCTATCTATTCAGTGGCTGCTAGATCCTTGGAAAACAAAGATACATAAAACTCAATCACTGCTCCCCCCAGAAACTCACAAGTAAAAGGGAAATGGGTAATAAATTAGTACAATGACACAAGGTACACAAGGGGGTGTAGGGACATAGAGAAAGATATGGTCTAATCTATGTGAAGATCAGGAAAGATTCTGTGTGTGCGCGTGCATGTGTGTGTGCGTGCATGTATGCATGTGTTTGTGTGTGTGTGAGAGATTAACTACTTGAGAGCAGGTCTTGAAGAATGAGTAAGAGATTAACAGATGAGGTTAAGACATTTGGGACAAAAGAAACTCTGTACACAAAGCATAAAGTTATGAAACAACATGTAAATTTGGGACAACTATTAAAAGTTCTGAAAACTTACAGTACAGAGTTTAAAGCAGGGAGGGGAAAGAACTAAAACTATGGAAAAACAGAAACAGGAGGATATCATGAGGGGGCCTGAACGCCATGCTGATCACAATTCACATCTGTAATTCATCATTATCAGCTACTATCTATCGTGCTGATAGGATATATCTTTTAAATATATTATCTACATTACATTTAATTCTCAAACAACCTTATATGGAAATTAGGGCTTAGACAGCTTAAGTAATTTTGGCCAAGATCACATGGACACTAAGTGAGGAAGCAAGGATGTGAAAACAGGTCTGTTTGATTTCAAAGGGAACTTGCCTTGAATCTCCAGGTAATGGGAAGTTATAGGAGAATTGCCTATGTCCTTAAATTTTTTTTTGAAAAATTACATTCACTGATGGAACAGTTTTAGGTAGGCAGGAGATACAGTTTATGCTTTTAGAAAGGTCACTCTGGAGCATGAGGAGGAAGGATTGGAGGGATGAGGCTGGAGTCAGGTGAGCCAGCTGGTAATAATGCAGAAGGAAAACAAAAGCTTAGATTAGGTGGTGTTTAGGAGAGATGGGGAAGAGGATGTGGATCTGCCAAATGTTTAAGAAGCAGAATCTGTCAGAGTAAACACATAGCTTCAGCAAAATGGGAGATTTTGAGGTCAATGATGGATAGCCTGAGACACTAAAATTACCAGGTCCTATGCCAAATGCAGGGGACACAAAGACGGGCAGGGCATGATTTCTCCTCTGGATAGCCCATGTAGCATCACAGAATCCAAGCTGTGAATTCCATCGAAATACAGTAAATACCTTACAGGCCACATCTCCCTCCATTACAGTCTTCAGAATCCTTAATGAGTATAGAGGCCCAAGCGGGAAACCACTGCTGTAGAACATTCTCAACCCTGTTACAAACGAGCTTGCATACAGGAGGTCCCATTTGTGCAGGCTGAGACTGTCAGGACATGGAGGTTATTAACTGTCCCCCAATCTTGTCTATAATTATCAGCAACAATTTTATTAAAAACAAATGCAGGTACAATTTCTTGAATGCTGACAACATGCAAGTACTGTGCCAAGCATTTGATAATCATTACCGTAAGTATTTGCCACAATAATCCTCAGAGCAGGCCTGGTACTCCTCTTTTAATGTGGAAAACTGAGGCTCAAAGAGGGAAAATAACTCACCCAAGTTACTTTGGTTCCCCGAAGCTACTTCATTTATCATTTAAAAGGCATCTTGGAATCTGCCATCTTCAGAAAGACTCCATTATTCTCCCCAAATTTTGTTACTCTCTCTCCTAGGCCCTTCTGTGCCCGATTGCTATTTCCCTGTGGTCCCTATTATGCTATACTGTAATAGATATGTAATTGATGTATCTGTTTCCCTTACTGACATACAATCTTTGAAGATCTGCTTTCTCTTTGCTGCTCAGTGGCAGCACAGGGTCAGAACAGTGCAGGTGGGACCAGTCAGTCCACTCCATGCTTTCTGAGCTGCCAGTCACTCATCTCATGCTCCCCAGGGCCCTTGGCCATTTCCCGCACCTAACAGACCTCAGGTTCACTTCCCACGTTCACTAGGCAGTTGCCAGGTTCATACCTAAGATATCCGTGGCTTCAAGAGGTGTATGTCCACTGAAAGGAAACAGGGATGACAGCCTCAGATTTCTTGGACCAAAAGAACTCAAATTATATCTAGTAGTCCCTAGGGTATCAACCATGTACCCTGTCCTGACATGATGCTTATACCTCACAGGTCCTCATGCCTGTCTGACACTTTAATTTTTCCTAAGTTCTGTCATCTCTTCCTGTCTCAGAGGGAGGCGGGATACACAGAGTAGAGGCAGCATAGACTGGAGGTTCAGTCTCAGCTGTGCCCCTAATCACCTACAGGATTTAAGGAAAGGCACACGCTCTCTGAGGTTCTCTCCTTTCTGTAGAAAGGAGAGATCACCTGTTCCACAGGGCTACAAAACTAACTGAATGACATCCTGAATGTGGAAGACACCTAGTAGGGCAGAGGGGCCACGTGGCTCTCTGGACCCACAGGGTTGAGTTCATGCCTTGGCTCCACCTCTCTCTAGCTCTGTGGGTCAAGTGCGAGTAAGGGAAAAGACCATCCTCAGAGTGGCATGAAAAGTAAATGAGAGGTCAGTGATGGGAGCTCAGTGCAGTAAGCCAGCAAATGGCAGCCACTGCTGAATTATAAGTGGAGCACTGCTGTAGAACACAAATGACTCCCCCAGAATCTCACAGTGGGTTAGGTGTAGAGAAGTTTGAAATCCTGTTATGGCTGGGCACAGTGGATCATGCTTGTAATCCCAGCACTCCGGGAAGCTGAGATGGGCAGACTGCTTGAGCCCAGGAGTATGAGACCAGCTTGGGCAACACAGCAAGACCCTGTCTCTACAAAAAAGTAGCTGAGCGTGGTGGCATGCGCCTACAGTCCCAGTTACTCGGGAGGCTGAGGTGGGGGATTGATTGAGCCCAGGAGGCAAAGATTGCAGTGAGCTAAGACAGTGCCACTGCACTCCAGCCTGGGCGACAGAGCCAGAAGCTATCTCAAAGAAAAAAAAAAAAAGTAAAGAAATTCTCCTGCAAGACATTCATCACCAAACATCAATCCTTTCAGAACAGCTACCCACAGGGTGCCACTGGGGCTCCTGGCAGTGATGGGGTACCAGCGCCCACCAGGTAGACCACTCCCCTGCCCAGGACACCAATCCTGGCCCCACATGAGCACCACATGGCCAGAAACAATGACCCCTTTCATTCTGGAAGTCAGGATTACTCTACAGATCTTCTTGCAGGCAGAGCCATGGAGGCCAAAGCAGAAACAGCAAAACCACCCTTGCCTGTGAGGCCCAATCCTCATTAGCATGGACAAGGGGAGAATGGGTCTACCTCACACAGCTGCCTACAGGGCAGCTCCAAGTAGGAATGGGAGACAGGCGTGGAGGCACATGTCAGTGTGGCAAATGTGGCAGCCAGTTACTTTTTGCGCAATAGAACCTGCATTCTGTGTAGACCTGAGGCAACAAAGTGCACTGTGGAGGACACAGCCATACTGAGAGCACTGGCACCTGGCACTGTAAGCGGGGAAAAGGCTGTTTGATGATGGTCTAGGAAAAAGATATAGGTCTGAAGTACCCCAAATTGTTCAGACTGAAAACCCCACCAGTTGCCTTCTTATCATTACTTGGAGGAAGCGGTCCTGGTATCCAGAAGTGGCAATGTGCTGGGGAGAGGTGGCAAGACCCTCAGACTCCCACAGAAAGAGGAGAGGTCTAAGCACAAAGGTCACTTCACAGTCTTTCTGATGAAGGTGAAAGAGCAAAATTAGAGTCAAAAAATAAACCACCTTCTAACTTCTTTTTTTTTTTTTTTGAGATGGAGTCTCGCTCCGTCACCCAGGCTGGAGTGCAGTTGTGTGGTCTTAGCTCACTGCAACCTCCACCTCCCGGGTTCAAGCAAATGTCCTGCCTTGATTTCCCAAGTAGCTGGGATTACAGGCATGCACCATCATGCCTGGCTAATTTTTGTATTTTTAGTAGAGATGGGGTTTCACCATGTTGGCCAGGCTGGTCTTGAACTCCTTATCTCAGGTGATCTGCCTGCCTTGGCCTCCCAAAGTTCTGAGATTACAGGTGTGAGCCACCACACACGGCCACCTTCTAACTTTCTAACTGAGACAAAGGTTTCAATGGAGAAACAAACTGCAGTTCTCAGGTCACAGGAAAACCTTGGCTATCTCCCCTCCTTCCCTATTTCTCAAAGGCACATTCATTTCCTGTGCAGGAGCTCACAGAAGTCAGATCCTCATGAGCTCATAACCTACCACGTCATTTGGGAGACTCTGGAGGTCATCAAAGGGGGTTTCCAGGGTGTTGGTGTCCACATTCAGGATCACGACATCATCCAGGGCCATGTTTCTGACTTTCTGCAAGGAGAAAACATCCAGAAGAGAAGGTCATTGAGGTGCCATCAAGACACACTTCCCCTGCCTTCTCTGGGGAAGAGGAATACAGAAGAAAAGTGACATTTGACAAAGGCTCACTCTGCAGCAGACCTAATGGTAGGAAGTTCACATCTGTGAGCTCACTGAACTCTCATAAAACCTCTGTGGGCTTCCAGGATTATCCCAAGTCCCAGGAGTGAAAAGGGTTCACAGAGTCAGAAAGTAAGAGGGACCATTACACTCCATCATCATTTCCCTCCTATATATTTAACAGATGCTGAGGCCAAAAGTTCTGTCCCCAGGAACGCTGATAGATGGCTATGTTCTTAGATATCCCCATTCAATCCAGCCTCCTAATTTACCAAAGGCTACTTGCTCATCTCTCGTTTGGATCCTGTCATTCTTGGGTATGGAATATTGTGTGTGGCCTACTGTTAACACTTCCGTTAAACGCTAAGTAGGAAGGTCACACTTTCAGTTTGGTTCCATTTTCCACAGATATCCAGCTAGTAATGGCTCAGAAGCTCTGGCCATAAGCCATTATTCTATTGGCACAGTAATAGAAAAGATGAGGGAAACTCATGCCTACAAGGTTTTCATGCTTGGTGACAGGAGAAGGGATGAACGGACAATATGGAGAAAAGAATCCTCCCCCTAATCTGGCAGCAATTCCCCATAGCCTGTGTGAGTCCAAGACAGGGTGTAGCCTGAGTCTTATATTTTTAATCATACTGTTTATACACTACTAAGATCCATCTTTGTTTTTCTCCTGCCTACCGGCCACTCCCCATCCCGTTCAATCCTCGTTCCCCGTCACGTATCAAGCATGTTCCTTTTGAGTCAGAGGCTTTAGAACTACTGTCTTTATTTTGTGTAGAAAGATCCTATCACTTGCTGTCTAAACTGGGACACATGTGGATGTGAAAGATCTCTGCTTACACCAGGGCAACAGGCACATGACGGGGCCTGTGGTCACTGCATATAAAAGATCAGTTCCATTACTGGTCAACCTCTGAGCACGCTGCATGTGGCTATGCAGGTATGCACTCCTCAGATGCCAACCACCTAAGCTAGGGCTGAAATCTGCCAACCGAGTGGCACCAGTCAGGGAAGCGGGACAGATGCCTTTTCCTAATGCACTCCAGAGTATGGTACAGGCAATGGAGGCAGACATCCAATGGCTGCTCAAGCTCCAGTTTTCCAGTGCCTTGGAAATGGACAAGTAATTAGAAGCTTCCCAGCTTTTGCTTCGTGCTTTCCTCACCTTATTTCATTTAATTCTTATCAACCCCTGCAAGGTGGATGTGACTGTCCTCAATGTTCGAACCTCGAGGAAGATGAGGTTCAGAGCTCTGAGATAAGAGGCAGAGGCAACCACAGGCCCAGCTCCCTCCCCAGGCCACACTCTCTGCACTGTACCATCCATCTCCGCATCATCAGACACCTGCAGGGAGACTGACCTCTGCACAGCCCTTGTCACTCTGAGCCCCAGCACCTCTCTGCCTGCCTGCCTGCCTCCCCTGCTGGTGTATGAGCTCCTTCAGGGGCACATCTGTTTGGCTCACGACTGCAAAATAACCAGTCCCTGACAACATGACTGGCACCCGGTAAGTGCAAACTAACACTGGTTGACGTTCACTCTCTTAAACCCCAGCATCTAGGGCAGAACTTGGTACCTAAGTAAACATTTCAAGATTCTTCCCAGCAGGAGGGTGGAGCCATGCTGGTCACAAGCCTTGTAGGGTTGAAAAAACACTCCCAGGCAGCAGAATTCTGGAACCTTTCCACTTAACACCACGGGAGCCTCCAATTCCTTCTGCTATCCACTAACTTCTCCAGGCCTCTGGCGGCTCATCCACAAACCTATCCATCAATTCCTAAATATTTACTAAGTGCTTACTAAGGGCTGAGAACCACAGAGGACAGACACAATTGCCAGTGTCGGAGTTTATTCTTTCCTCCAAACCCCAACACTTGTTATTACTTGCTGCCTTATTTATAAGGTAAAAAGATACCAGCAAATGGGGAATTTTGATCATATTAGGTTGGTGCAAAAGTAATTGCTGTTTTTACCGAAGTAATGGCAAAGACCGTAATTACTTTTGCACCAAGCTAAGAATACAAAAAACAAGTTCATCTTGTACAGTGCTTTTGTTACACTTCAGGCTCACACAGCACTAGTACACAGACGCTTTCATTCCATCAATGGGGCTGGAGGTGAGATATTATCATCCCCATTTCGGAGATGAGAAACCGAGGCTCCAAGAAGTAGCTGGCCCAGGGTTACACGTCTACTAATTGACGTCATCTGTAAAATTAAAATGGTAACTGTGGCCACCCTACTTCTCTCACTTCTTACAGGGCTGCCATGGTGAGAGCAAACACACCCACAATGCTGGTTGCGCAGTAGGAGGTAATAAATAGTGGCTATTATTATCACTTTGATAATACACACAGTAGCCACAGCCAGTCTGAAAGGCTGTAGTGGCAATGGCCTGAGGGCAAAAGTCCGTGGGGCCCTTTCTTGCTTGGTCTCTTACTTCAAAGCCTGCACACAGTCACAGGAAACAGAATCAGAGAAAGGCTCACAACACCCTGGAGGATGCCATGCCTCTAGGACAGAGCAGGGGGCTGCGTACCCCAAAATCACCTACTTTGCCTCATCTGACCTTCCACATAGCCCCAAACAGAAGGGAGCAGGAGGCATGGCCATTGGAGAGAAGCCTCCAGGCCTGAAAGGCCCCGTGAATGGGATGTTGATTCTGGACCAGAATCGGGCCTTGTTTCTGCGTTCCCACTGGGGCCCAGTACACAGACCAGCCCTTGTAGGCTCTCCACGCCTGGGCTGGAATAGGCTTTTGATTTCTTCCCACTCCTGGCTGGAGGACTTGCCGGCTAAGCTGTGTGGAGTGTTTACTTTTTCAACAATGGCAGCAGGCTTAAGAATAGGGAAAAACCTGGCCCCTTTTTCTAACTTAGCAGGCCAGGGTCCCCTTAGTAACCAAAATGCCCCAAGCACCAGGCTCCAGGCAGGAGCTGGGGCGGCACAGTTTCCTCTCAAAAGACAATGCTTTTGTGAGGAAAAGTCCTCCTGATGGCAAGGCCTCTTCCAAAAGGGCTGGCATGGACTCAAGGGCTTTCCTGAAGCTCACTGTTCCCAAGGAAAGAACTGGAGCCCAGCTTGCCGGATGGTGCCCGGTCCTCCAAAGATCAAGGCAACCAGGGGAATGAAGAAAGGCAAGAAAACTCAAACTGGGGGTGGGGACGGGAAGCGCTGATGGAGAAGGAAGCCAGACCTTTGCCAGGTCCCAGGACCTCTCATCTTAAACATGCTGTCAGGGACACTAGCATCTCTGTGTGAGAATGAAGTGGAGGCTCAGAGAGGTCAAACAAGCTGCCCAAAGTCAGAGCCAGGGAGCAGCAGAGTCAACTTCTGAATGAATCTGACCCCAAAGCTGACTTTCTTCTGAAGAAAGCCCTAATCCAATCGCTCAGATTTCAGAATTAGTATCTGTCTGTTAGGACGCACAGTTGTATGAATGTGCTCAGGGCCTACTTTCTCTTACATAAACTACTACTTTCCTTTTGTTTCATAAAAATTATAGATGCCTACTTTAAAAAAATTGGAAAAGGCCAGGTGTGGTGGCTACGCCTGTAATCTCAGTACTTTGGGAGGCTGAGGTGGGTGGATCACCTGAAGTCAGGAGTTCAAGACCAGCCTGGCCAACGTGGCCAAAACCTGTCTCTACTAAAAATACAGAAAATTAGCCAGGCATGGTGGCAGGCACCTGTAATCCTAGCTACTCAGGAGGCTGAGACAGGAGAATCGCTTGAACTTGGGAGGCAGAGCTTGCAGTGAGCTGAGTTTGGGCCATTGCATTCCAGCCTAGGTGACAAGAGTGAAACTCCATCTCAAAAAAAAAAAAAAAAAAAAAAAAAAAAAAAAAAAAAAAAAAAAAAAAAAAAAAAAAAAAAAAGGGAAAAGCAGAAAAATTTAAAAACAAAAACTGCAGTTACTCCAGTCCCAGTCCCTACATTTGGAGACAATGTTTTTGTCGACTTCCTTTCATATTCTCCCCTTCCTTCATGTTAAGGCAAAGCTGAAATAATTCTTAATGCTCCTGATTTTCTCACTGATTCTAAGCAGTGATCCACTTCATTAAAAACTCATTACTAATTGCGAGTGTCCTACTACATGGAAACAAACTCAGCCGAGCCCCTTTTGTAGGATGTTCTTTCCAGTTTTGAAGAAATTACTGTATATAATATTGCCATGAAATCTATAGGCATGAAGCTTTGTGCTTTAGGATGCATTCCTAGAAGTGGAATTTAGTTTCCACTTCTTAAAAAGTGTCCCTCTCAAATTCGACTTTGAGAGAGATATCTTTACTTCCAATTATTTTAAAGTCATTTTATCCACAGCTTGTGTTTCCTACTCTAAGTGAAGAAAAATCAGCAAAGACACGAGCAGATGTCAAAATAGTCCTCCAAAAACCCTACCCAATTAAAACACTTACTAGTACCGCGGCACACCGAGACAGCTCTCCGGTGGCTTGTCCCACCAACACATTCCCTCTCTTTTTAGTTACAGCATATGCCAAAGCTCCTGCCAGCTGCAAACCCTTCCCCCACCAGACTCTATAGGCTTTTTCTCAGAATGAAGAAAAAAAAAAAAAAACTGACATGCACACTGGCTTTCCAAATGGCATTTCTTACACAGAGAAACACACACAAAAAATGGCACTTTCCCATATATATTGTTAATGAAGAATGTCCTCCTCTTTATGCTTTGTCACAGACAGTCGGAACTTGACCCCTGCCTATCAGGCCAGGGAAGGGAAAACCTGTAGTATGGGGGGTGGTCAGGGGTAGCTGAGAGGACACTGATTCTAATACTTTCACCTCTGGCTTGTCCCCCAATCAGGGGGCTTACTGTAGGCAACTGACTTGACTGCATAAATTCTCCAGGTTGTCATCTGTTG